CGCCTTTCTTTCCCTCCCTCTCTCCTCTCCCCTTTTCCTTCCTCATCTTTCCTTCCCTCCTTCTCCAAAATCTTTTTCATTCTCAGAGATAAAAAGACTCTTAACTAGCTCAAGGTTAATGGAGCCATTTTTCCCACATGGAATTCTGGGTATGACTCTTTCTTCTGGAGTGCAACACATAGCACCGAAGAATAATGCTCAGATATATTGAATAAATTGATGCCATATAGCCTCAGTTGTTAACATTCCCAGAGTCCCTTGTGCTCTACCTATAAGCAGTGGGTGCTTTTCTTTGGTTTCCTTCCAGGTTGGCTGATGGAGCAATATATAACGCAATTACCAGTGGGACAGAAAATTATTTCAAAGGTCAACCAACATTTTTTAAAAACAAAAGGGGAGGGTATAATGGAATATAGAATTGTCATATATATATTTGTTTATGTGTGCAATGCTACTATAGTAACTTGGCTGTCCTTTGAATATCACTGTGTTGAGTGGATCCCTCTAGGACCTTCGATTCCACGAGTTGGGCCCAAACCACTGTGGAATAATGCCAAAATGAGTTAAATGCGACAGATTTTAATAGTGAGCTTACTTGAAGGATTTAAGTAGGTTTAGAAGGTGAAGAAGGCCAATCACAAATTTTAAAGATTAATTTTGGAAGCTCTACTCTAGCTCAAACAATCAAAGGAATGCACCTATCAGCTACAAAGAACAGCTAGACAGCTGTTTTTTTTCTTTTATAAATGTTTCTGTGTTGTGTCAAAATGATTTCTGGTGATTTAAACTAACAGATAATCACAGCTGCTGTCTAAATCCATAGTGTTAAAATTACAAAATGAAAAAAAAAAAAAAAAAAAAAACACTTCATTACCTGTGAAGACTGTGTCTGTGTTTTTAACTATTTCTTGTACAAATATATGAAAACTTTTATGAGGAGACTGGTGCCAAGTAGCTGAATAATGGGGAAAGGGATATTCTGTTCGTAAAAATCTTAGCAGTGTTACCAACTCTACAACATATATATATATAAAAATTAAAACGTTACAAAGCGACAGCTATGGTACATTTGTTTTGTGTGAAGCTAACCGGACCTAACTTCCTGAGTGCCTGGCTTATTTTGAAACATTTTTTTTCATTGACCATTGATAATGCTGCAAATCAGAAATGTACATACTTCATTTACAACAGGGTTCTTTTTATACTTTTGTAGATTCTCATACATGTCACATACATGGTTGTCTTTATGTAACTTAATTTTTTCATCCGCAGGTGCCATTTTCATAATAAACTTCTCTTGGATTTGTTACTATCTGGCATCATTTCTTTTACATGTAACCATCCTAACTAATGAATGCTGGTAGTATTTGTTTAAGCAGGTACCTTGGTCATTATTCTTGATTAAAAACAAAAAAAGTAAAAAAATAAAAAGATGTATCCATATTTTTGCTAGTTTCGGAAAAAAAATGCATAGTTCGTGTACTGATGAGGCTGACAAGGCACGGATTAAGATGCTAATCCAAATACTACACCAAACTTGCAACCATCCTAAATTTTCAGCTACCCCCAACTCATTGTCATACTGAGCATTATTATGCACATTATCAAGGCTGAACAATAGGCCTTCAACATTATCCACTATGGAAAGCGTGCATTTTTTCTTGATTAATGCACAGTAAATGATGACAGTTTTCATACATTAATCATTTAAAATGCACTCGAAATTTTCATTTATTACAAGCTATAATGTATAACCAACTGTTCCATCGCTTATATCTTCTCTTTATACTAAATATGTATTTTCTTTCTGCAGACAAGCTGAGTAACTCATGGTTGTGCTGTGTTATTGATTAGGTTCAGCATGCAGCCTGTCACGTTTTAAAAAAAAAAGAAAGAAAAAAGAAAACTCCAAAGTTAAAGATACAGATGGGTCACCTATTAAGTCTGTGGTGGCCAGAAAATGAAGAGATGTGAATGAGTTGAGTCGAAAGAAAAGGCAAACACTTTTGTCCAAAAGCTATCAGCTATAATAATATTATTCCCTAGTTTAAGTCTTCAGTGACACTTGCCACTTTGAGGGTACTTTTTGTTAATGGAGGGTTGCTTCAGACTAGTGGATATGGAAATGTGTTTATGATTGTAGGGTTTTAGATTTCTCTACTATGCCCTTTATGGTCCTTGAAATAAGCTCTTAAAAATTAGAAATAGGAAGAGGATGATTGAGAATACAGAATTGGGTTCCACCAACTACTTTTCCAAAAGTTATCTTTCTCTTGTGCTCTTGAGAGTCAGAAGAATATAGTACAGCAAGGTTTGAAGTAAAAAAAAAAGATCAAGCTAAAAAATTCAATCCTGAACCGATGCCAGTGAGTGTTGAAGCCAGGTTACCCAAGGCACTCTGTCTGCACTGATGGAGCTGGCTTTTAGTGGGCGCTTCCAGAGCCTTGGCAGGGAGGGGCTCTACCAAGGCAGAGGGGCGATTGTATAAATATGGAATTAGGGCTGACCCTCTGCTGGCTGGATGACTGTTGGTCAGCCATCACACTTTATTTCAGCCTCATGATCTGAGGGTGGTGGCAATGGAGATTGAGAAGGGAAAGCCAGACGTAGGGGACGAATTGAAATCCTCACAGTTTTCGGAGCTTCTGTAGTAGAAGTGGTAGAAATCCTGGATTCTTACCCAAGTTCAAGCCCCTCTTAGCATCAACAGATTCCCTGTCCTGTATTTGTACCCAATAATGCTAAAATGTCACTAATGAAATTAAGAACATCTCGGCCAGAAAGAGAAATGGTGAGCGCTGAGCGCTGAGCTCAGACCCACTGCCAACTGGAAAGCCCTGGTCACTTCTACAGCCGGAGGCTGGCAGCCAGACCAGGACTCTGAGCTCCCCAGAGGCACAGGACCTCTCCCTTGCCAGGCTGGCAGCCAGCCAATTTGTCAAGGCTCCAGTTTATAGGTGATGGACAGAACAGGGATTAATGGCCAGCTCTCTGCACCTTTTCTCTCTCCCAGCCTATACCTATACTTGTTTATTTGGAAATGAGGAACGAGAGAGAGAAAAAAAACTTTAAGGCATCAGGCAGAATAAGAGGGAAAATATACATTCAGATGAGCATAAAGAAACTGATTTTGGTCCTTGTAGACTGTAATTCTTACCCATCTTTGCCTACGCTTAGACGAAGCCTATTTATGTTGAGCGTGTTTAAAACAACTTGAAATCAACCTGGTCTATACATTGCAATGGAGAGATAAGTATACTACCAAGCCCAGAAGATAGTCTGTTCAAGCCAAGAAGACTATTATCCAAATTCACAATGTGGAAAAATCTAAAACTTGGGAAAGAAGGAAGAATACCTTTGACAATATTTCATATAATATAGTGAGAAAAGACAAACCTTGTTCTTGAGCATGATTTCCAAAGAAGGATGAAAATTAACAGGCTTAAACAATTCTGAGTCGCTGAGGTAAGTGAACAAACACCCTTAGATGTTCCTACATTCCTGTATCTCCTAGGAAACCATTATAAATAAGGGGGGGCTGATCTGGTAAACTCCCCACAGGCACAAATCATGGCTTGTTCATCTTCATGTCCTCCTAGAGTACCTAGCTCAATGATTTACAAATAGTCTTGGCTCAGGAAGGATCTGCTGAATACTGATGGATGAGGACATGTGAAAAAATGAAAATGAAACATGATTTGTCAAGGGGCAGAGATTCTACTAGAAACATCCATGTAGTTTGGCAGGATGGCTTGAGTCTCCATCAAGAAAGAAATGGCACAATGGATAAAGCTGCAAGTTCATTCATTCCTGCCTTTCCAGGTAGTCTATAAAGCTGGAACAGAGTTGGCCAATGATCGAAGAATGTCGGTTGAAGGATGTGCGTGTGTGTGTGTGTGTGTGCAAAATATTATATTCTGTATACAGCAATAAATTAGGTGAAGCAAATAGAGAAAGAAAGAAGAGGAACGAGCCCAAGCACTTGGTAACTGACTTAGTAAACTTCGACATCTTATCCCATGGACAGCTGAGCAAATAGATCTTGGATTCACGAGAAGGTAGCGTGTTAATAGTGTATCCTCACAGATGAGCATTTAGATGTATAATCTCAGTTGTCATCTAGAGAATCTCAGCAACTGAGAGTGCCTGTCACGTAGAACTCACATCTCCTTAACTTTAGTGGTGTGGGTCTTTCTGGCCCACTATTGATTGGATAGTTATAGTTTTTAGAAGGTGTTAAGCTGAAATCTTACCTCTGAAGTTAAATGGACTAAGTCTAAATTCTCTTCCATCTGAGTTGCCTTCAAATATGTGAAAACGAATGTCAGAATTTCAATAAATCTCTAGGCTAATTGTCGTTAGTTCTTTCAATTGTTTCTCCGAAGGCATTGTGGCAGATCCCTTCACCATCCTAGTCACCCTCATCTGGATACACTAGAATTTTTCAAGGCTCCTGTATTGGTTTACTAGGGCTACCTTATTACCACAAACTAGGTGGCTTGAAACAATAGAAAATTATTCTCTCACAGTTCTGGAGACTATGAGTCTGAATTGAAGGTGCCAGCAAGTTTGGCTCCTCCTGGAAAGTTCTGAGGGAAAGTCTGTCCCATGCT